GACATTACAAGCTTTGCAAGAGCCAGCTAGTGAAGTAGGGACAGTTTGTCGCCAATGAGATGTGCTGCTCCATTTCACATAAAGATAATAAGGTAACCAGCAAAACTGAGCCAGCGTTATTTACAGTGATCACCTGTTTGACCAAACTTTGTCCTCTTGGCTGAGAGTTGGGGGGGTTCGTGAATTCGATGGGGAGCGGTACTCGGAACGTTGGTGCCAAATTCCTCTTTGCTACCATCTGCTGCAGACCACTTCCACCCTACTAAGACAGTGTAGATGTACAGAGGGATCTTGGGGGTTCAAGTCCATAGCTCCCTGAAAGCGGCCACACAAGTAGATAAGGTGGTAAAGGAGGCATATGGCATGCTTGCCTTTATTGGTCGGGGAATCGAGTACAAGAGTCAGGATGCCATGTTTATAAGACTTTGGTTAGGCCACACTAAGAGTATTGTGTTCAATCTGGTCACCACATTACAGGAAGGATGTGGAGGCTTTGGAGAGGGTGCAGAAGGGGTTTACCAGGATGCTGCCTGGATTACAGGCTATGAGCTATCAGGAGAGGCTAGAAAAACTCGTGTTGTTTTCTCTGAAGTGGAGGAGGCTGAGGGGAGACTTGATAGAAATCTATAAAATTACGAGATGCATGGATAGGGTTGACAGTCAGAGTCTTCAGAGTTGATATGTCTAAAACTAGGGGGCATGCATTTAAGGTGAGAGGGGTGAAAGTTCAAAGGAGATGTGAGGGGCAGGATTGTTACACACAGAGAGAGGTGGGAGCGTGGAACATGCTGCCAGGGGTGGGGGTGGAGGCAGGTAAAACAGGGGCATTTAAGGGGCTTTTAGATAAACACGTGAATACGCGAGGAATGGAGGGATATGGACCAAGAGCAGGCAGAAGGGATTAGCTTAATTTGGCGTTATGTACAGCACAACATTGTGGGCTGAAGGCCCGTTCCTGTGCCGTACAGTTCTATGCTCGAAGACCATGAGGAAGGTGGCTGGAGGGGGGGGTTGATCTGTACCAGGAACAAGCGCTGGATATTTGGTTAGCTCTGTAAATATTCACGTTTGGTTATTGAGGGAGTACGATGAAGGTGAGAGGGGGTTTGGGTTCAGACACTTGATCCTGGCAGCACTGGGTGACGATGGGTGGGGAAGCTGGGTTGGCGGGGTTGGGGAATATCGTAGTCTCCACTTTCTCCAACATTTCCGAAAGGGATCGAACAGGAAGCAGAATGCACAAGTGAAGTAGAGTCACTCAGTTTCGAAACAGAGAGAGGAAGAAAATACCAGCGGGGAGTTTTTATCCTGACCACGCTGCACCAATTCCAGGGACGGAAGTTAACCACAGTCACTTCTGGTGGTATTTAATGTCTGCATACACAGTCAACTCCTCTGCCTGAACATTTTGCCTGTGAACAGACGCTGCAGCTAGGACGTTAAGATCCAGCGATGCATATATGATCCTCTCATTGTCCTGTTAACACAGGCAGAAACACAGAGAGAGTTTCAGTCTTCAACTTCAGCTGACACAACAAAACGCAAAGAATTCCAAACCACAACAACAGCAACAGAACTGAGCAGTTTCTTTACACGAGGAGGGATGTTCCGATGATGGAGGGAGCATAGCGAAGGTGTACCAGGCTGATCCACAGAATGCTTACAGTGTGGGCCCATCAGGTCAATGACAACCCTCTAAAGAGTGTCCCAAACCCCTATCGCTGTATTTCCCATGGCTAACCCACCCAGCCTGTGCGTCCCCAGACATTACAGACAATTTAGCACGGCCAATCCACCCTAACCTGCACATCCCTGGGCACTATGGGTAATTT